TGGTGTAGGGCCACGGGATGTACTCCGGGATGTACTCCGGGATGTACTCCATCCCCTGGGCACAGCATAGGGTACACTACCCGAGTGCATGCGGCGGTGTACATACCGACGCTTTACTGGTGAATATGATTCCTCACTATCACTACTCGAATGATCGTCAAGAGCAATAAAATCACAATCCACGTCACTATCGTCATCATTACTGAAGTCAGAGGCCTGGCCAAGCGAAAATATTAGTTTTCTCTTGCGTTGAGGTACAACCGACCGTGAGTCACGAGTGCCCACACCAGAGGTAGAAGGTTGAGGATCGTCTGGGTTTTCTGCACGATTATCGATATCCTGGTCATTCCTTTCGGTCACTAACTGATCAAAGCCATAGAATTCGTCTTCATTTCCACTTCCATCAGTGTCAGAAGTATCAGATAGGAAGAGGAGAGTCCCAATTTTCCGGGGAGTGAGAGCTGACTTGCGACGAGGCATGGTGACCAAGGGTAACCGAGCCGGCGTTCCCACAATGCTATGCGGGCGCCTAGATTTTTTGTTTATGGTGCACACCCACCACGCAGACCTATTCTCTCACATGTAGGCCTATGAGCGCTCTCACGCTAAATTTGACGGCGCTAGAATTTTGGCATAGATTCTACGGTTTTGGACACTCAACGTGAAGCCGTAGATCTACGGGACGGACCCTGAAAGGGTTAAAGCTTTAAGAATAGCTTTAGTATTAATACTGCGCATGGGAATTGCTTCAGGGTATCTAGTTACTCTATCCATAATGGTAAATAAATACTGATTTCCCGACTTTGACCTAGGTAATGGACCTACACAATCTATAATTAAATCTGCAAAAGGTTCCTATCAGCAGGTATAGGTTGGAGAGGTGCGGGTTTAATGGAATGTCCAGGTTTCCCTACTGCTGACATTCTCGGCAACACTGGATATGATTCTTCAAAATCCTGCTTTAATTTTGGCCAATAAAATTCTTTTGTGATTCTATATAATGTTTTAGTAATTCCTAAGTGACCTCCTAATGAAGTATTATGAGCTAATTCAATATTTGAGGTCTAAACTTTGTTGAACTACTAACCTGTCAGACAATTGCCGGCCCTCTATCTCCTTACCAGTCCAGTGCAGATCAAATATCATTTTTAAGTTTTTTCTTGACCGGATATCCAAAGAGGATTTACCCATGGCTCCCGGGAAAGCGAAATTTAAGAAGGGTCCTTTCGTTGTTCCTCCCAGAAGGACAGTCCCTCGGGCATGGAACAGAGATTTCTGGCAACCTGCAACCTTGGAATAGGAAGGCTTGATCTGGGTCTGTTCATTTGATCTACAAGGCCCCGGCCGGTTTTCCTCGCAAAACAATATGGCTATTCCAAGATCGGAGTTTTCCAAGGATAGGTCAACATTCTCGCCAGAAAACCCTTGGGATGTTGCCTGAGTTATGGCCAACACAGGAGAATAATTAATCATTATGGGTTCAGGACATACACTAGCAGTGGTAATGTTATTACCCAGTAATAACATGGCATCTTTCATGGGGAATCCTTTGGATACCCCCAAACAGTCAAGTACCCAGTGTAATATTTGCACTGTACATAAATTTTATGCAAAGGGACAGAATTTATAGCTCCTCCAATGCTTCCAACAAAACAGAGGAATTTAAGGAGGAAATTCTTTGAAAGGGGGGAATATTCCCTCTCTATAATGAGGCAATGTGCTCTAGTACTATCTCTAAAGGTTTTGACTTCAGTTGTTTCGGAGTTTTCTGAAGGGAAATAAACTCTTACAGTAATAAGGGGCCATCCCTTTTCTACTTCTTCAGGACATGTTACTAGGGATATTAGAGATTTTCCCAATGGGTTGGGGTTTATGGGGGCAGTTGGGAGGATTTTGGGTCTGCTTTATTGCACAGGTAGCAGATGACAGTTTTCCTTTGACTCCCTGCTGACGTTGCAACTGGTGTCGCTCTGGCTGGTGTCTTTCTGGATACTCTTGTCGAGTTGCACCATGTTGAGTAGTTTGTCTTCACCAGGGGGACCATAAGTTGAAAAGCGTGGCTCACCAGGTGACTTAGTTGCTGACGTAGACGTTCTCCCTCCGGCTGGCACTTCATCCTCCAAGGTTGATGATCTCTGCCATGCCAGGCTGTTGAAAAGAGAGACAGGATGCTCGGACAAGGAGTGTTAGTTTCAAAGGTATCAGCCAACCTGGCTGCCTCCAATGCAGTGGTTAAGTCACGGTCTGCAGAAAAATCGAACCGTGGTCCCACAGACTCCGGAGGTTGTCAGTCAGAATAAGCTGCACAAGATCATCGAAGGTAGCAAACCACTTGCTTTATCCCACTGGTAAAAGCTTTGGTCTGCTGTCGCACAAAATCAACCAGGGATTGACCAAGCTGTCATCTGCTTACTTTAAATTTTTTTCCGATATTTAGCTGGGATACAAGTATATGCTCTCAAAACTGTGATCTTCACCACTTTATAATCGGAAAATTCAATGTCATTTAACACTGACGTAAATTCCTGTGCCTTGCCAAACAATGCTGTGTGAACCAACGATGCCCAGTGCTGTTCCTGCCACCTCAAGGCTCGAGCCTGATTTTCGAAAGCTTTGAAAAATTGTTCTGGTTCGGCCTCATTGAAGCGGGGAACAAGCTGTACTGCTTTCTGTAAACTAAAGTCATTTACAAGATGCGAAAACTGCCTCCTTTCTTTTTCCCTATCAAACTCTTCTTTTGCAAATGCTCTCTGTTCCCTAGTCTGCTCAAGATTGATTTTTGCCACCTCAAGTGCCAACGCCACTGATTCACCTTGAGACAACCCTGCTGCACTAGACTGACGATTTTGCTCCATTGATGTATCATCTTCCTCTTGTGAGAACATAGTTTTATTCCTAGCTCCCGCAGAGGGAGGAGTCTGATGTGCCATCTCTTCTTCCCGAAGTTTGTCAGTGATCAGTGAACGCAGTTGCCCAGCTGTGAGAGTGCATTTGTAATCAATGCCAATGGAAGGAGCAATTTGCCAACAATGCTGTAGGGACAATTTAGGTAGGTTAAACAAAGTATATGCCGACACCAGACGTCTGACTCGTCTAGGTGGCATACTACAATGTACAAGTTATTTGCTATGCACAGTACGATTGCAGAATACCCCAACGTAACACGTTATTTGCAGAACACGCTTAGCTATGCACAGTACAATTGCAGAATACGCATACGCTTACAAAGTGGATACGCAATAACAAAGCTGACTGCAAAATCTTCACACCGAACAAGCTAGTAGCGAGCTGTTGAATGAACATTCAATAGCAAGGCTGACCATAGCAAAGCAACTGACATGCAAAGTTTGTAAAGCGTTGGCAAAGCTAATGCAATGCGAGACAGCAAGCTACACAATGTTCCTGCTTCCAACTTCACCCTAGGCTCAACCCGTTCGCTAAGTCCAGCTCCAGCTCCCGGACAGGCCCCCATATTACAACCCAGGAGTCCAAATGGCCTGTTATCCTGGGTGTAAAGGGAGCAAAATAAACACAGTAGAAAATTTTTTGACTTATATTATCCTTCACCAATTTAGAACAGAAGTATGTACACTATATACACTATGTACAGTGATAGGTATTAGTGCACTCCACGGTAAGCAAGGCAGAATAGAAGCCACTGGAGAGCAGACCATGCTTCAGCCAGCTCTAGAATGGGAATGACAAGGGCAGACAGGAGAGTGGTACCCATATAACCTCTGCGATTGCCAAAACCATCTTCTCATTGGCTGGAACCTGGGTACTGGTTGAACGATGGGGCCCCATCGTCAACCCTCTGTCTCCTGGTTCGCTGGTTGGGGGAGATAGCCTGTAAATGAGGGGTGTACATGCGCCGAATAAAGGTTACGTACTCTTTGCATGCCACAGTGATGCAAATGCCCATTATATGGTAAGATTCATTAATTTAATTCTTTTAATTAGAGTTTACATTTGTCTTCATGCAAATCATTTCCTTTTCTTTGTGTTTGCTTTGGTCAGGGTTGCCATAAATAAAAGAAAAAGTTTAAAAATTTAGACCAGAAAGTGAATCTTTTGTGGTGTGGTAATATTTGAGTACAGTGCTTGTTAATGTTGGAATATAAAACAGTATCAATGAATTTTTAATTTTACCCCTTTGTTCATTCATTATAATTTTGAAGTGGAAAGTATGCAATGCCTGGTGAACAATACAGAAATGTTGTTGGGCTTGCAAGCTCATCGATTGGTTGAGTAGTCTGAAGCTGATGATGATATTACTGCCATGCTAATCCTTTAAGCACCTGCAATGAGTAATATGTAGAACTTTTTCCTTCTTGTTGGTGGGGAATTGCCTTACTTTTCACAGCCTTTGAGGCATTCCTAGTTGTGGTAAGTATGTAACATTTTTTAAGTTTATCTTGTGTGGTTTTTGCAGAAAAACAAAAATCAGTTTTATCTAACACTGTGTGCATGATAATCAGTCTTGAGAAATTTAGTTGATATGCTGCACCAAATTTAGCAAAACTGCATATTGCTGTACATTGTCTCAACTTGACACCCATCCAAAGTAATGCATTTTTAACTTTTTAAGTTCAGAGCAGAATGAAAGTGCTGATGTTATGAGCTACCAATCAGGCAAAGAGCTTGGTGGTTCAGGTAGGTTTCTCTATTGTATAACGAGCACAGCATAATTTCCACTGCTTTTTATTTTCACATGCTCAATATTCTTTATTTCTTTCAGAACATTTCAATAATATTTTTAAAATAATTTTTACAATTTAATTATCATTCAGAATGTTAGTTCATTACATCAAAACATGTCAGCTTCTGCTGTTATGTAGTCTCACCTTGGTTATATAACATCTCTGTCATGTCCTTCGATGGTACTTTGTGTTATTTATCATACTGTAATCACTACCTTTCAAAGCTAATATCAGTATACTGTACTTATTATTGTACATTTCAATAAAAAGTTTCGACACAATGTCATTTTATTTTTTTAGTTTTATGCCCCGTGGTGTGGCCACTGCAAAAAGCTCGAGCCAGTGTGGAATCACGTCGCTCATTGCGTTGTATGGCACTGATATTAGAGTTGGGCGTGTGGACTGCACCCCTTTCACTGCAGTGGGAACGAGTTTGCCATCAAAGGGTTTCCAACAATTATTTTAGTGAGTACCACAGGCAAGCGTATTACTTTTAACATTAAAAACTTGGATAAATAGGTTAAATTAAAAATTTTGCTAGTGAATAAATCATGTCTAGGTCAAACGCAAACAATGGTTTCTTAATATTTAGATGTGTACCCCATTCAGTGAAAAAAATGATGCAAGTATCTTTGCCCCCTTTTCATACCATGTATTTAAAAAAGCT